AAACTTTCCTATAGCCCAAGCTTTCAATCATCTCCTGTACTGCACTGTGCCCTATTCCAAGTTTTCGGGCTATTGTGTCCACAGTCACATGTCTGTCATCTTGAATGATCTCATCCACTCTTTCCTTGTTTCGTTTAGTTGAGGCTGTTCAAGGACGACCACTCCGAGGCTCATCTTCAATGCTGGTGTTCCCATCTTTAAAATGTTTCACCCATCTTCGAACACTGCTCACACCCATGCACACACTTCCATAAGCATGCTGAAGTCTCTGGTGAATTTCTGCAGCAGGGATTTCCTCTTTCACAAGAAATTCAGTGACAACACACTGGCGAAACGACATATCATTGTCGGCCATTTTGTTAGGAGTGATACTGGTCACGTGATGCAAGCTATTGACGTCACAAGACACTCAAGGTTAACACAACAGCTGGTTTCACCTACCACTGTACTCTCTTTCGTCTGTTGTTCCCAGGTTGCACGCAAAAAAAAAGTTGTTCATGACTTTCAGTACGACCTACGTAAATAAGTGTTATAATCCTGAGTAGCATTATCTAAATTTTTAGGTTCTGTTGCAGCCATTTTTCCATCTTTCTCATTCTTCAACACTCTTTCAGTGAGATGCACTTGTACGCGTATACAGAGTGTCCCAGGAGGAATGGACCAAACTTCTGGAGGGTGTTCCTTATGTTAAAGTATGCCGATATAACCCAAAACACCTATGTCCAAAGTTGAACGGTTACGGAGATAATGGCCCAAGAAAAGTGTGGTCTTCTGGCAGGTCCACGCACTGTACCTCTCAGCTGAGAGGCCTTATCTATGTTTGTCCTTGAGTGCCGTGATTCACCCTAGCCGTACGTATGTAGTTGGCTTTATCAGAATGCGCAGTCAGCACGTTACGTCAGCGCTTGCCATTCATGTGTCATGTATAGTGCTTGGAAACGCTAAGGACAATTATGACATGGCGAGCGAGTATTTTGTACTTCAATTTTATGGCTTCATGTTATTCACAAGTTAGTTTGATGTTACGTACATTATTAACATTACAGAATCCACATATTCCTACCAGTTTTAATATGTATTTTGTAATCAACAAGTGTGCAACACCCGTCAAAGTTTGACACTTCTCTGGCCATTATCTCCGTAACCGTTCAACTTTGGACATAGGTGTTTTGGGTTATATCGGCATACTTTAACTTAAGGAACACCCTCCCGAAGTTTGGTCCATTCCTCCTGGGACACCCTGTATATACCAAGCACGTGTCAGTATTATAGACATTAATTGCATATTTTTTTTTAATTAAATAAAGATTTATTCACAGAGTGGGGTGACACAAAGTCTCTTGGTTCTGTGCTCTAAAAGCTCTAGAACTCTACACAAATGCACAACAGCACTGCTAACTGAGACTCCTCGCAAAACACTGATATCTTTAACAAAACTTACCTGGCTGGACTCCATGCAATTGCCCAGATAGGTGTTTGGGAACCTCCAGGCCTCTTAATGTAACCCTTTTCTTCACCAGCCTAGAAATAAATGATCTTCATAAGAAGTTTCAGAATCACAAAACTGTCCTCATAGATATTACATAATTGTGATATGTCAAAATGTTGTTGCGCAATGGGATATGCAACAAGGTGGCACAACGGTAAGGAAAGCAGTGTTTCTCTGTGTCGTGCCATGCCGAGCCAAGCCGAAGTGCACTGGTTGTTACGCAGCATTGCAGTAAACATCTCTCAGCAGCATTGCCCAGCAACGCCTCTGTAAGCACAGCAATTATGCAACACTGAAGCGAGGTGCATTTTCCCCTGTCTGACTGAGGGTTTATAAGAGTAACTGGAATGCCTAAGGAGTTCAGCTGAAGTCTAACAGTCGCCGAGTTCAGTTGTAGCAAGTGAATTGTGAACATGAAGAACTTACAAGTTCAGTTGAAATATAGCAGCTGTGGGAAGAAGTGAACAAGTGATCAGAAGATTTTATGTGTGATAATCAGTGATAGTTGGTGATAACTGAGAAGGTACTGGGAGTGTGTAATTCAGTGACACTTGTATTGCTCCCGTGTTATACTGTAAATAAGTGAAGACTACTGAATATAGCGTGAAGAGATTAGTGTGTAGGGTTTGTAAATTGTGTAAACCAACAAGAGTGGATTATAAGTAAGACAGCGATAGCACTGTGATTTGAGTGTAATTGAGAGAGTGCGTGTAACCAAGTTGTTAATAAATCCAGTCATCTAAACTAGAACCCCTCATTTTGTCATGCGTACCCTCCTACACATAACATAATATCCAACAGATTGCAATTATCCTAAAAACTCTATAGCAAACATTTCAGATTTTTACACTAGCAAGTTATTTGTATTTGAATTATGTCTACAACAGTACATGAAGCCACAATCCAGAACATGGCAATGTATATAGCAATGTATCACCACAAGCTCAGTTTTGCACCACACGCAGCATATTAACACCACATTCACACTGGTGCTCACAAGAAAACAAATATGGTGTCATACATTCAAATACAGCTTTATTACAATTCTTCATAGTGCTTAGGGTTTTGTGTGAAATAACAATTGGTGAATAGTTTCAATAGTTAATCAATATGTAGTCGAGAGCTGTCATGGAAAGGAAGTGCAAAGGAAATTGAGAAATGAAAAGTAAATAATAAAATTGAAAACATAATATAATGTAGAATTTTCATCTTTGAACACATCCCCAAAAACTGACTATATTTGTGCACAATGATTTCTGTCAACTTATATTTTACTAAACGCTAACCTTATTTCGTATGGATACACAGCCATTGCTAAGCCCAAGAGCCAGATACTGGCCATCATTTGTCCATGTACAAGTGTTGATACGAGCACTAGACTTGTGCTTCTGCACAGCTTTCTGTTCAGCCGACCAGAAGGCAAAGTCACTGATAGCACAGCTAGCCAAGTGATGGGATATTGGGTTGTATGCCAGGCACTGAACTGCATCATTATGACTGTGAACAAATGTTACAAATATACAGGTACCACTGACATACTGGGTTATAACGAGACACTGAATATATTCAATGTGACTGTGAAAGAGGGTTGTAAATAAAATAAGTATTATCAATATTGTGACATGATGCCTGAATGCCAGAATATTAAAGCCGGAGTGAGACATCCATTGCTAGACAACGGCTCGGTAATCATGTTTCTGTTACAACAAATAGCAATAAATACATTGTTACCTAGGTATCAAGTGCAAACACGTTCCCCTGACAATGCATACATAAACAGGTGCATTCCATCCAGCCGCACAGCGAATATAGGAGGAGACCAGACCAGAATTCAGTCATTCACTGAATCATTCATTCATTCAGTTGTAAAGCCTCGGTCAAGGCAATTCAAAAGTTGAAATGTTGAAGACTCTATGTGCTATAGTTACAGTAATCTTGAGAGCATAAGAACTGATTGTAGTTACCATTCGTGTGTATCCAATAGATTGATTCACCAATCCAAACTCTGTCTATGAGTCACTGACACACGTGGCAATAAATTGGATTGCATTATTATGTCCAGGCATTGAATGCATCAATGTGACTGAGAAAGAATCTTTCAATAAAACAAGTACCATCAACACAGTGTACACAATAGTGTGCAGTGTTTAGGATTATGAAGCATAAGACCTCAAATATTCTGTGCTAGTAAGTCCATTTTTATGGCAGATGGCTATCATTTGTTGCACCTATGTTCATGTAATTATTATTTTACTGCATTTATGCTCATATAATACAAAGTGATCAGCTAAGAAGGAAACCTTCTGCTTGCAATAGTGCATCAATGCATCACTGCATGACTGTACAGGGAACAGAGCAGCCTCTTCCTTACAAGCAATGCAGACTCTGATTTCTACTTACACAGCGCTTATCTGATTACTGCAGAAACTCAACAGAGTTTATAAAAACTGCTGGAAGTGACACTATTCTGACTTCAAGTATGCCTTGCAGATCATAAACAGGTTCTGCAACACTTTCTCAAGTTAATCATCCAAAAACGAAAGGAAAGAAAAAAAAATAACTACACGTCCATCCCCCAGAGAGATCTGATGGTGAAAGGCTGGGAATACTCATATTCTCTTTCTTCAGATGTCAACTGGTAGAAGGGATTCAATATATCATACACACACTGGTCTGAATTCACAGTCCTCAAGTCAGTGTTGCACTTCTCACTCACAGAATACTGCTTCCTTACTTTTATACTGTGTAATGGCACCTGCTGAATGGCATGATGATTTTCTTTGTGCCATATTCATACATTCTGCATCTTGATAACACCACTATGATAGTTATCTCATCAATTATGAATAGCAATTGTGGATTCCCCACACTGTCAGACACATTTTGCGGCAACCAGTTACAAAAGTGAATTCTTCCTACATAATCTGGTTGTGCCCAAGGAAAATCATTATTTCACTCGAGTGCCATTTATTTGATTTTATGAAGGTAAACACAGATTCCAGTGATACACCAGTTTCTTGTTCTAAGCATCTTAACAATCTGCAAGAACTGATCTCTGATCATGCCTACATGTCTTGAACTTTTCTCTGTTGGCAGTTCCTCTTGGATTGTTTCATTTTGTTACAAGCTGAATCTGTGGTCCCAGACTTCTTCACAAGCTTGAGTGCACACGAATTCATGGAAACTCATTCTTATGGATGCTTAAAGTGAATCTCCAAATACCTGACTTGGCTCATCCTGGTCCATCACACTAGCAAATAATATAAAATGATGCACAACAATTTCTAATAGTTTCATATCATATGAAAGATTAAAAAGGAAAAATTTGATGTTGAATCATATACCTCCTTATTAAAAGAATACTGAATTTAGACCTTTAAACAAAAAGATCTGAGCAAGCAGAACTTTTGGTCACTACAGTACCAAATGTAATATGACTGCTGACTGCATGAATGACTTACTGTCATATCAGAACGTTACATAATGATCCCAGATAAAACATCTGCTGTATTCATTGTGTTGCTACATTTTCTTATTATCTGAAGCCCCTGACTAGGTGAACAGACTATCCCAAACAACATTTCTTAAATAAGTATGGAATATTATATTCAATATTTAAAATCACTTCTGCTTACAAAAATGTATTCAACTATTCAGTGTCCTTCTATCTTCAGTAAGAATTATATCACTGTTACTTCCTCAGCACAATAATGAAGCCAAACAATTCCTACAGCTGAGTATTACATGATATATTTAAAACTGGCTTATAACTCAACATACACTTTCAAGAATATGTTCTGAATGATTCTAATGTTGTTCCTCTCTCAGAAGATTGTAAGGCAGTTGTGTAGGTTTTGTCAATAGCAGGGACTTAAAATTTAGCAAAGCTGGTTGTCCTTCACTGGCACCCCAAGTTTCATGGGAATTAGTCAACTAATGTTAAATTTTAAGCTGGGGATAGAGAGACAAATACAACACACAAAAAGGGGTTCAAAGAACTTGTTTGTGAACCTTGTATCATGTCTCATTCATATATAACTGGAAGTGATTACGAGTACATTAACACAGACCTCCTAGGCTAGCCACTAAAGAAAGATCTGAGCACAATTTACAAACATTCCTGCATGATGACTACAGTCTGTTTTGTGGAAAAAGATAAACAGATTAATAGGGAGGTGAATTCATGTGAAAACAGAATTTTAGAAATATAGTCCACTTGAGAATAGAAACTGGTAGAAATGTGGGAAATATTTTCAAACATGAGATATGTGTTGCCAAATTACAGAATTTTGCATTCTCTTAAGCATAATTCCTTATCTGAATCATGTTAACAATGTAAGAAAGAAGGAAACCACATCAAAAAGTAATAATTACAAAATGCTGCAAAAATAAAGTACCTTGTACTTGTGTTTCAAAAGACAGAAAACATTTCTGACTAGGTGATTTTTATTCATACTGTTGTATTTTAGCATCCTGTTGCACTGATTTTCATCCATGATATGTATACAGTTGCTGTCTTGTAGTGCACTCAATTTCACCTGTTACTTCACGACATGTTTCGGCAACATAGTGCCATCATCAGGTGCCCTAATTACGCTAATCTATTTCATTGCTTGCCTTTACAAAATTATTTAAAAAGTATTTAAAAAGTGCGTATTTCTCAACTATAATGAATTTACACACACTTAAACTTGTTAAGATTATTCATCTTATGTGTCATAATTAAAACTTGTGTGTGGTTCTTCCGCTACGGGGGTCGTTTTTCTTATATTCTGCGTAAACCGTGTCTTGTGATGTCGATTACAACACTTGCAGCTAAGAAGGGAACACACACCACAGACACGGTTTACGCAGAATATAAGAAAAACGACCCCCATAGTGGAAGAACCACACACAAGTTTTAATGAAGACACATAAGATGAATAATCTTAGCAAGTTTTAGTGTGTGTAAATTCATTATAGTTGACAAATACGCACTTTTTAAATAATTTTATAAAGGCAAGCAATGAAACAGATTAGCGTAATTAGGGCACCTGATGATGGCACTATGTTGCCGAAACATGTCGTGAAGTAACAGGTGAAATTGAGTGCACTACAAGACAGCAACTGTATACATATCACAGGTGATTTCTGTTTTAAATTCAGGTACTTCCTACATCCCAGTACACTGCAGTACTTGAAACATTATTCCAAACACAGAATCTGTATTTTAGGATTTTCAAACCATATATGGAGTATTACAACCTATGTCTTAGTTACATAGATATTTAATTTTCAAAATGCTGTTTATTTGACCTTGTTGCCACTTTGAACAGGCTCTTTCATCAGCCAGGGGCACAAATGAGTTACCAGGTCCAAAATTATGGGATTACATTTTTATCTGAAACAGACTTTGGTTGAGCATTTTCAGAATTTTGAAACATATGAGCCATGAACGCTGTCAAATTTAATACAAATTGTCCAAAAGGCAAGAAATGAAACTGGTTGAACTTCACTGCAGGTATAAACACTATTAAAATGTTATCTTAATAGTGTGCATCCTATTGTGTGTTATGAACAAGATATATGTATAAAAGTATATAAGGTATGCCATCTACACAACAATATTCTGTATTTAAAAAACAAAGAAGACACTACTGTATCAATATTTGCTTTTATTTTTGTTTTTACCAACAAAAGACACAATTTATAAAATATACTCACGAATATTTTAACACACCCTCAAGTGTTGATGTCCAAATAATGACAGTTTTGTCAGCACTTCCAGATGCAAAACGCTTTCCATCTTTTGAATAACACACGCAGTAGACAGTATCTTTATGACCTATTGGAAAAACGTCAATATAATAATTGCTAAAAGCATATTTATCCAAGTTAATTCAAATGCATACTAAAGAATTCTGTATGGAAAAGTTTATACAGTACAAGGCCATTACTGTCTCTTATGAATTAAAATTAAAATTAATTAAAATTACGTTTTAAAAGTCTATTCCATTCTAGTTTATGAATGCACAGCATGATATCTTGTCTTCCCTGTGAAACAGGTTTCGCTTCCCTTCAGCTTCCATTGACCTACTGTGGACCAATGGTGCCACAGGCACATGTTTCAGGCCTTGTCCCCATTATGTGACAAATCGAACATCTAATGTATTTTCTTGGTGCAGACTGAAAAATTCTGGAAAACAATACTAATTTTCAAAGCTTGGGGTTCTCCAGAAATCTTTTAGAAACATCCTCTTAAATATATGAAGCATAACAGGAGGAGTATACAGGTGTGGATTAACACCCAAATTAAAACGTGGATGCCCGAGTTTCCCCCACTCCCCCTGGGAATAAACACTTCGGAAAACACGTTTCTTTCTAACAGAATAATTGTCTGTAAACTAGAATTTAATACAACAGCACAACAAATTATACTCATGGTATAATTTAAGTCATACATCGGTAAAAGTGGAGAATACACCTCTGATCCCCTTAAGCCGGGTAGCGCACCTGAGCTAATGACCAAAACCGGCCCTGAAAAGCGTGAGCGGTTTCATGTTGTATTCTGCACTTTAACCTACACTGTAAGAAATTGTCTCACTGCACCTTTCAAAGGCTGAATAAGGGAACCATCACTAGTATCGTAGACGAGAACTCTTTGGCCTGCTGCAACAACAAGCTGAGATCCATCTGGATTGAAGCATAAATCATATATGCTGAAATATAAAATGAAATTACATGTGTATAACAAACCTTCATGCTCAGTAGGGTTAAGATGAATTTTGTTTTATAACTTACCACTGTTCTACCTTGTCCCTATCATGAACTTTGTCAACCCATGCTGGTACAGCCCTCATCCTGGGCAGTTATTTCAAATAAATTAAATATTTCATACACAGGAACATTTTGTTTATGTTACGCTGCCAAGGCAACTACCGGAATGATTACGTCAGAGCGCGTGAGCGTACACAACGCTACACTCGTACGCCTATATATATATATATATATATATATATACTACTCGCCATGTTTTCTTGTGACGTCATTTTGGGTTGTGTTCATTGATGAAATATGTTGCTCGATGTGAGAACGGAATATTTGTAAAGTTTCAAGACGTTTCTTACATTATTCTTTATTTACAATTTTTTAAGCTACCACATAGGTCAGGCTAGTAGTTGACACAAGGTTGACACTTTGTAAAACTCATAGTCAATACTTTGGCAATGTGCACCCAAGATTGTGTTCTAATGTTTCATGAAACGCCATATCTGTTGTGAAAATCGACTAAGTTTGCAGGGACCGAAATCTTGAGAACGTATAGATAATTGAAAACGTTCTGTGAAAGTGCAACCATGAAGAAAATGACGTTGGAAACTGCAAAAAAGGTTAGAGAAGGATCATTTTGTGAAAGTAGCCCGTAAGAAATTTACCATTCAGAGGATGTGTTTGAAACATCGCTATTAGATATTAGATCTCGCTCACATAGTTATGCGTCTTGTAGGCCACGCCGAGTTGCATTATACGAATAATATCTATGATTGGACCGTAAACACAGGAAAGCAGTATTAAAATTATTGCATTTGAATATTCTGATATAGAAGAATGAAAAATTGTAGTGTTAACAGGTTAGGTGTTGGAGAATAATATAGCTGGATGGTTAGGGAATGTTGCCCGTAAGTTTTAACATCATGATTGCCCCCTATGAGCGCCTTCCGTGAATTGCAAAGATGACATTTTCAGAATCGGAACCTTTTAAAACATGTTGAGAGGTTGGAATGGCTGTTGTGCAACACATTTCGGGACACAAATTTGAGATACAAGGTGTATAAAATGGACATCAACCAAGCTGGTTCGAAAGCGGGAACGCTCTAGACCCCACTAGACTAATTAATATCTTTGAAGTAATAGATTCTAATCTTGACCGAGATACCGGCTTTCGGGATTAAAGGTTTCTGCGGTTTTCCTCAGTACCTGCAGGCAACTGCCAAAAAGTACCTCAATTAGACAACGGTTGCCCCTTTCAAAATTCTACCTTTGAACACCATGTAGTCTTAGTCCAACCTTAAATTAGAAGTACAAAAAAAACAGCTTGTTTTGAGGAGTTTGTTACTTAATATACCATTAGTATTCACTGAACTCATATTTCTTAGTAACTGCAGTCACTAGATCATGATGTGTGACTAGTGAAACACAAATTGTCAGTCAGTGGAATTTATTTTTATCTAACTTCTCCCATCAGTTAAACGGTGTATCTTCATAGTACAGTGAGTGGTTGTGGTAAGTAAATTAGAATGATCTGTGCTGGGTTATCAGTGCATAAAACCGAACTCTAGTGACATTAAATTGCTTCATGTCTACTGATGGGCACATGAAGAGGAGAATGAGAAGTAGTTATAACTGAAGTAACAAGTCAAATGTTGTTGCTATATATGTGGTATATGAATATACACTTATTGAGTAATACACATCAACAGCTCTGTTTCAGATTACTGCATTTTTGGACTTTGCCCATCATCTAATGTTCTAAAAGCATGGCTTTGGAACCTGGATCCGTTTCTTTCCTTAGATTAAAGAGTTGATAGCACATATTCTTTGGGGTCTGATATAGGTTAGCTATTTCTGATGGACCCCACAGAATAGGTGTTGCCCACTCTTTCACATGGGGATGGAAACAGATCCAATTTCAGAAATGTTGTACACCATCAGAAACCTTTAGAATTGACTTAAACACCAATGTTTACTTTTTTGAGAGTGAAGCATAATTCTTTGCCATTGGGATGCAGTGTTCTTTCTTTAGTAAACTAGAGTGCACATTAGGATCAAATTTAACCATAAATGTAGTAAGTATTTAACTGTTTTTTTTTATTCTTGTGTTCCTCTCAATTTGCATGTTATGAAGTTTCTGTTTATTAGAGGCAATTTCACTATTTTTTCCTGTGTATTATCTGGACCAGACAGTTTCAATTAAAAGCAGCTTTTCGTTTTAGCACAATACACTAATATTCCCATAATGACTGAGATATTTTGAAGACTATCAGGATCTGGTCAGAAGCAAGTGGGAAACTTCACTAATGTGGGAGTATTTTTCATTTCCTGCAGCCTGTTGTGTTACAATATACAGCTGTTTATTGACCGTCACAACACAGCAAACAGAAAAAATGAAGGTCATCACACAGCTATGGTTTCGCTACATGTTTCAGCCACTAAAGGCCATCATCAGGCAAACACATATTAACAAACATATACCATTGAACTGCAGTACATTAGATTGGATACAGTGTTATTAATCATTTAAAATATTTTGCGTAAAAATGCAATAAGTCAGATTATAATAAACTAAAAGTTATTGTATAAAACAGCACAATACAATGCAATACAATACAATACAATAACTTTTAGTTTTTTATAATCTGACTTATTGTATTTTTACGCACAGTATTTTAAATGATAAATAACATTGTATCCAATCTAATGTACTGCAGTTCAATGGTATATGTTTGTTAATATGTGTTTGCCTGATGATGGCCATTAGTGGCTGGAACATGTAGCAAAAGCATAGCTGGGTGCTGACCTTGATTTTTTCTGTTTGTTGTGTTGTGACGGTCAATAAAGAGTTGTATAATGTGGAAGCAGTTATTATGTTATCATGCCAAAACATTTGAGAGTAGAGTTGTCACTGATTCTTGATTTGCTGTGTTTATTTACTGGGTCTACAGTATGGACATATGCAAGACCCATTCTCTGTTTTCTTATTCTTTTAATGCTGTTTGAAAGGTGTTCTTTTATGATTTCAGGAAAACCGGTCTTGTCAAGGACTGCACAGTAATATTTATTCCAAAAGTATTATTCCCCGTTGCTTTATATGTGATGAGGAAATTATAGGCCGAGGGGTTCCTCTGTTAGTAAGTTGTACATCATATACAAAGACTGGACTTCCAACAAAAATAGGACAGCTGATGGGGGAAGGCTTCATGGTGGTTGTATCAATTGAAGATATGCTTTGCAAACACTGTGGTGCTTTGTTGAATCACCTTGATAAATTAGAATCTGATCTGGATATTGTTAAACGGGCTCTAACTGGCTACTTGAAGATGAAGTATGGACTCACAGAAGATACTGATGAACAAAGAAAACATCTGAAACAGCATATAACAAATCAAACAAATGTACAAGGTATGATACACACAAAGGCAGAGTTATTTAAATTACATTTCTTTTAAGATGCTTTCTGCAGCTTGGTTTGAGCCTTGGCCTCCACAACCACTGCTGTTCATACATTCTTCTCTAGTATCATCACTTTCCAGTTAGTGACTCCAGTTTTGGTCCTAACATCATTTTGTCATTCAGGCTAATTAAATATTGAAGATCCATCAGGATTACTGAGGTTTTGGACTTTTATCATCATTTGATATTCTAAAGAACACAATGTTTCAGAAAGCAGTTCCAGTGATTGAGGTTAACTTGTTCAAATGCACCCAAGGGAATAAAGTGCCTTCCATCCTTTCACATAAGGATGGAGACAGATTCAGTTTTTGAAGTGTGTTATCAAGAATATCAGGCAATGGACAAGTCCAAAAACTTGTTAACCCCGAGTGTTATATACAGTTGTCAGAACCCTTTAGAATCAATTAAAGATCTGTAGTAGATATAATCTTTAAGGACTGCAGCCTGTTGTGTTGTCCTATATAAATTCATTTTGCTTCCATCTTGACACAATAACCATAAGAATTTCATTCACATTTCACTGTGTATAAGGAGTTTATTGGTATGGTAATATGCTACATGCTTCAGCTTATAAGCCATCATCAGGCAGTACCCATTAACAGATATTTTTGAATTGTGCTTTACATAATTCCTACATTACAGTATAATAACTATTACTAATGTACCTGTCTTTCATAAAGATAGGTAACAGATATTTTGAAAATGTGACACCAGTCAGATATTTGGGAAGGACAATAACAAAACAAAACCTGATTCAGGAGGAAATCAAGAGGAAATTGAACTCTTGAACTCTTGTACTGCTTGCTACCATTCAGTCCAGAACCTCTTGTCTTCTCATCTGCTGTCTAAAAACATGAAAATTAGGATATGCAAAATTATAATTTTGCCTGTGGTTGTGTATGAGTGTGAAACTTGGTCTCTGACATTAAGGGAGGAACATAGATTGAGAGTGTTTGAGAACAGGGTGTTGAGGAGAATATTTGGACCAAAGAGAGATGAAATGACAGGAGGTTGGAGAAAACAGAATAATGAGGAGCTTCATAACTTGTACACTTCTCCAAGTATAATTAGCATGATTAGCATGATAATTAGCATGATCGAGTCAAGGAGGATGAGATGGGCTGGGCATGTAGCACGAATGGGGAGAGGAGAAATCCATATAGGATATTGGTGGGAAAGCTGGAAGGAAGGAGACCACTGCAAAGACCAAGACATAGGTGGGTGGGCAATATTAAAATTGATCTTAAAGAGACAGGATGGGATGGTATGGATTGGATTGATTTGGCTCAGGATAGGGGCTGGTGGAGGGCTCTTGTGGACACGGTAATGAACTTTGGATTGCATAAAATGCTGGGAAGTTCTTGAGTGGCTGCACAATGGCCACTTCTCAAGAAGGGCGCAGCTCAGTGAGTAGTGAATGTATCCGTCTTTGCATGCAGTTAATACAGTCAACTTTCCTCTGACTTAGTACAAACTTTATAAAATGCATTAAAATTGGAATGAAGGTTCTGCATTCAATTGGATGCGTAAGATGTAAATAAAAGTATGCATAATAGAATAAAATAATAATTTTTAAGTCATAAAATATATTACATTGTTATGGTGTATTAAAACATTCAGACAATGAGTTAAAATTATTGTTTGTTATAAATTATAAATCACTCTGTCCAATGTGACCTGTAAGTTTTTTACTACATAAAAACTTAACACCCTTAACAGGTCACTTACAGGTCACATTGGACGGAGTGATTTATAATTTGTAATTGTTATTGTGACGGACCAGAATGAAACAAATCAAACTCATTGTTTGTTATATTTATGGTACTTGTTGTATCCAGATATTGTTATACATATATACCATTTATGTTGGTGTCCATTAGTGTTATAGTGTTATAATATATAATTATCATCAGATGTTGTTGATGTTTGATAGTGGGCAGGTGTGTTTTATTTCTGCTCCCATTTGATTTCCTTTGGCGTTTGGTTGTAATTACTGGTATTAACTGTAATACAGCTGGTTGTTACATTGTGGAGTTAACCAGATTTACCTACAGGGAGGTGCATGAAATGATCCAGTAATTCATCTATTAATGAAATCTTTATTTTAGTTACAATCTTGGAAACTAACATACGAAAAGAAATACTCCTCTGTGAATCAAGTGTGCACTATGACCACCATCTTCAGCACGAACTGTGGTGCTGTTGACCACTCGATGCCACATATCCTCAGTTATCTTGTCTGCGTGATTGATTAGTGCTCTCAGTTCCATTGTTTTATGTAGCTTTCTCAGAAAAATCTTTTCCTTAAGGAATCCTCAAATAAAGTGGTCACAAGGGTTTAAATCAGGACTATTCAGGGTCAGATCTATCAACACGTGAAACGGTCAGGAAATCAGTTTCAGATGACACGTCAGTCGAAAATATCATGCAGGAAGTCCAAAACAACATTCTCTGTGTGCATCCTTGCTCCTTCCAGCATGAACCACTGAGTTTGTAACGGCAGACCTGTAGCAAGAAGGTCAGGCACAAAAGTATTGTGCAACTTGCTTAAATAGTGCTCACTTTTCACTGTCTCTTCAAAGAAAATTAGCCCTAGCAGTCCATGACTTGAGATGGTGTCCCACACTGTAATTCTCAGTGTATGATGCACCTTCTCATGAATCGTGTGGATTTCCTGATGCCCAAAATCACACATTTTGTTTATTAACCACATCATCCAAGTGGAAGTGTCCCTGATCAGAAAAGCAGACATTGTTGAATGATACCTCATTATTCTGAGCTCATTCAGCAAATGCCATTCTTTGATCTTTATTTTTTGGAATTGTAAGTTTAGGCAACACTGTCATTTTGTATGGTTACAAGTTCATATCACTCTTCAGTATTCGTTGTACCGATTGTCTGGATATATCTGGTTTTGCTGTAGCCTTCCTTTTTCTTTACTGGGGCTTCTTTGCAGCGCAACTCTGATGGAATTGGTGTTCTCCGGAGACTGTACAGATGAAGGCCAGTGACATTTCCTCTCAAATGCTGAACCATCCTTATTAAACTGGTTGTAAAGTTTATGAATTGTTTTGAATGATGTCAGCCATCATGTTTGAAAATGGGCACAAAACCGCCTCTTGTGTGACTACAACACTTCTTGTTTCAGTAAAGAATAGCACTATTCTTATGTGTTGTTCTACAGTCTTCCTTCATCAGCGATCTTGTGTTAACTGGCACATGAGCAGGAACAGCGCGATACTAGTGCGCTTAGGAAGGGTAAGAACAAATCTCCACGATGTACTGTGTTACCATGTACAAAACATCGTTCATTGCATGGTTGAATAATTTGTATTAAATGAAATGCTGGATCATTTTGTGTCCAACTCTGTAGAATAAAATCCCCATTTGAGGTATACCTTGAGAAAAGATTTTTGTACCTTAAACTGAGAAAAGTCTTAAATAAGTGCTGTAACACTCAAACACAAAATTATGCTTCATTGTTAGTTATATTTCCTTTAATCTGTCCAAAAATATGGACAAATATATGCAACATAAGTCATAAGAAAACAGACTGATTGCATATGAGGTGCTACTTGTGTCTTTTTTGTGCCCATGTTCTAATTTAAAAATAGGTCTATAGTAGATTAAAATATGTAGCAATTAAATACAATGTATGTATGAATTTCAACAGAAGGCAGAACTTCTGACTACAAAATACATGTAAGTGATGCTGAAATTATCTTTGGAAATGCCCTGTGCACACAAAAGACGTGTAACAATGGTATGGTGGTTCTCTTCACTCTTCATGTATGCTTCCACTCAAGTTCATTAATGCATACATTAGTTCTAAGCCAGAACTAGTCACCTTAACAACTACATTCATAAAAGAAACAATAATTATACATAATTCAGTAATTTAATGAACATATATGATTCATCAACTTGACACTAATACCTTATTGACATCATAGGTTAAATATGTAAACATGTATCAGATTATATTAAATTAATTCATACAATGTACTGTATAAACAGCAATATAAAAGGTTTAATTCACCTTGTATTTAAAATATTCATCTAATGTATAAACTGAATGGAAGTACAGAACATTTTCAAGGCCAATTTAAATTGTTTTGTATTATGGGACAAATTCTTTATTGGAACAGGTAAACTCTTAAAACATCTTAATCCCAGTATAATATGTTCCCTTCTGATAAACTGACAAATGAGATAGTGGATGATGCAAATCAGATTTTGTCCTAGTACAGGGTGTTCATTGATCAAGGAAACCTGGCAGCAGGGCAGAGCAGACACAGTATTTTGCACTGATTGCTGCTGTACCTGCTGATAGCAGAATGAGTCATTAGGGATGATAAACGTGCGCCATCAGGTATGTATCTGTAAGTTTCATCGTAAATATCCTGACTCGCCAGTTCCCACAAAGTCGTGTGTATCCAAGCTTGTGAAAACATGGCAGACCACAGGTTTAGTGTGTCACATAAAGAAGCAGTCGAAGAGCATTGTGCTGACTGAAGAAAAGTTTCTTGATATTGAGACACGACTGCAGATCAGTCCTTGGAAATTGTTAAGACGCTTAGCACAGGAAACCTGTGTTTCCCTAGGATCTGCTTTAAAAGTCACAAAATTAATCAAATTACGCATTATTTCATTCTGTGAAGCTTCAGAGCTGCAAGAATTATTCTTGTAGACTTTTCCTTCTAGTTTTCCCCAAAGATAAAAATCACAAAAACTGAGATCTGGGAGGCCACAGTCCCCTGCTGTTTATTCTGTCTTCACACTTCCTGTATTGCAAACACTGTTGCATTAGCTGTATGTGCTGTAGCGTTGTCTTGCTGAAAATACCCGTATTTTCTTTCTTCAGTATATCATTAATGTAGCAGTCAGAGTTCACGGTTTCATAGAAAAATAAGGGGCCAGTGATTCGCCGCAGACTTGCGCACACCACAACCCCACCTTTTCACTATGTAATGGCACTTTCTGTATAGTGTGATGATTTTCAGCGCTCCATATTCTTACATTTTGTGCATTGACATGACCACTAATGTGAAACCATGCATCAGTCATGAACAAAAGCTGTGTATCCACGATTCCATCAAGCATATTTTGCAGCAGCCAGTTTTAAAAACGAATTCTTGCTGCATAATCTGGTTGTTTCAGCTCCTGCAGAACTGTTATTTTATATGGGCGAAATTAATTTTGTGACTGTGAAAGCAGATCCTAGTGATACACCAGTTTCCTGTGCTAAGCTTCTTAACGATATTCGAGGACTGATCTGTAGTCGTACCTCAATATCAAGAACATTCTCTTCAGTCAGCACAATGCTCTTCAATTGCTTCTTTATGTGACACGCTAAACCTGTGGCCTGCCACTTTTTCACAAGCTTGGATACACATGGCTTTGTGGGAACTAGTGAGTGAGGATATTTACGACGAAACTTACAGATACATTTTCTGTAATTTTTTTTCCTTGCAAAAGTTTCAACAACAAACGCGCTGTTCAATAGTGAACTTCATTTCAGTATAAATGTTGACCGCCTATTGACACCTCTAACACAGACTGACTATTAATGCGACTTACTGCAGTGACAAGATCAGACCACCTGATGTCGCACGTTTATCAATGATAATGACTCATTCTGTTATCAGAAGTTACAGCACCAATCCATGAGAAATGTTGTGTCCACTCTGTTCTGCTGCCAGGTTTCCTCAATCATTGAACGCATTCTATTAATATTATTTCTCTCACTTGCTATGCTGACAGCACATTATGACATGAATGATAGCATGTACTACATCTTAGTAACATCAACCCACCAAGAGCATAAAGTGTTAAAACATTCAGTATATTTCTTTCACAATAATTGAAGAAAACCTTTCAACATTTAGCTCTGCCAAAGTGAAACAACCTAGTCTTCTACTTGGCTACATGTAATACTAAATCAAGGTACAGCTTTTATGTTTGGATTGGATTTTCATTCACTGAATGCCAGTAGAACACTAAAATGAGAAACACTAGATTAGGGAAAATTATTTATTATGGGCTTTGGCTGGAATCACAAAAAATATACCCAAAATGGTAGCATCCTGCAGATATAGAAACCTTGAATCAAGTTTCTGCTGCATAGGAAATCATGGCTACTAGACTGCACAGTATTACATGCTAGAAAATATACCATCTGAATGCATCTGACTAAAACTGTGACACATAACCTTGAACATGTGATTAAAGCATAAAAAAATTAGTAAAAAGTAAAGCTATCCCTGTACCAGGCCGTGAAGGTCCATAGGGCTGTGAGATGTTGAGGGTCCCACATTATCTAGACAGTCGGCTCAAAGATGGCGGCAAGGTTGTCAGCCTTACACGCCAGCCACACTTTATTCCCAAGGAAAATTATTTAATTAATTCCTGGTACTCATTTCTGTTAGAGGCTGAGTAAACCCCAGGGCCTAGTGTGGCTGGAAGGATTAAATCAATTGAAAAATATCCAATGACCTCATTGGGACTTGAACCCGCGACCTTCTGGCTTGTAGCTATGCTACCGCGCGCCCCGTAATTAAAGCATACCTCTAATAAACTGTAAATTCTTATTTCAGAAATAGCTAGTATGAGAGCTGATGACACGAACTCTGACATAGAAGACACTGTTTCTGAGGTAAGATATAAGCAACTTAACAGCTGAATGCTGTGTGTCAGGTCCATATCTTGCCTCCACACAGCTCTCATCTTTATTCATAAAGATACCACAATCTTTTCAGAGTTTTTTTTCTATCCAAATTTTACTTTTGGAGTAAAACAGATCTTAACAGATAATTTGAAAATGTTTCATAATGTGGGCCTATCCAGGAACAACAAACTCAGAAGGTTTTTGATGAAATTAGGGGAATACATTTGGGAACTTACTATAATTATTCAGTTCAGAAACTGTCATTGTATCAACTTCCCACAACTCAAATATATATCACCAATAATTGTACCATCTGTCTTTAAGTTAAGGAGGTTAAGATCAGAGTTTGGATTCCACTTTTTTGCTTTGGGGGGGGGGTTGACAAGTTCTTCCCAGTATTAGCTGTGTTGAATATTTGGGTTCTGCTACCAGTGAGCTTAGTTTATTTAACAGATTTTACAGTTACCAAGTGTTTATCATTTGTCTCCCAATTTATCATATGAAACATACGTTATTATAGAAATAAAATTGACAATTATATTACTTTAACACATTGCGGACCTGTGGTTTAAACATTTAAATCACCCTGGGGACCGGCGTTTTTAAACCTACTACCCTAATTTGTGCACTGTTCACTTTAAAAATTAATATAAAATCTAATTAATTTTATGAACTGAAATTTTTGGAGAACACTTACCAGAGCTCCTAGAAGTGCTTGCGCATGTGATATCTCTGGAAACATTCCCCTTTGTGAAGAGGCATTACGCAGAAGTTGAACATGTAGACAGTTCTACTCTTCTTCTTGTGCTCTGCGCGCACATGGCACTGCCTAGAAGGGTGTTTCTTCTTGCAGTATTCACTATTCACAATTTTCACGAGAATATGTTTCTGCATATCACCCGAGAGTTGGCCAGGGGGGTCTACTTGAGGCCTCTGGCGGGTGCGAACAGATGGCCCCGGCTGCACAACGTCTGTGTCTGACGCAGGTACTGCCGCCACCGTGACGTCAATAGCCCAAGCTTTTGCCAGTTTCAACAGAAATGCTTTGTATTTCAAAGTAGAATTTCTGTTCACCTTTTTGAAAACCGTAAATGAATTGAAAATTGCACAGTTTATAAGCCACAGTGCAACTTTCTTCGTCCATTTTACTGTTTTCCTAGGAAGGGAATAATAGGCCAAGAACTGGTCGGCCCTATCAACTCGTTTCATGAACATATTATACTCGGAAATGCAAAGGGTCTTCTTTACTTGCCAGTGTCGTCTTTGAACATCGATCATCCTCGAATTGTGAATAGTGGAAACCATATTCACAACGCGTGTATCCCTCCAGGACTGAAGAAGAATGTCCCCCTTCCGTCAAAGAAACTATCTCCAAAAAACAGTGACGCAACTTCAGACACATCCGTTGGGTCCGATGGCATCTGCTTCACCCCTGAATCACCAGTAAACTTTCCCAAAGTGGGGGTTTTGGCCACTTTATCCCATGTAGCTGTCCCGACACTCGCACTTTCAACGGAGCTCTCACTTTCACTTGACACATTTTGGGCAGCCCTGTGGCCCCCGTCACTGTCACTGTCACTGATAATGGCCTCGCTATCAGAAGACAAAGCAGTTGGCAAATCTGATAGCTCATCAGAGAACATATCTAATATTTCCTGTCCTCCGAGAGATCGCAACTGCTTTCGTCTCTGAGCCATGTTGAACTGGTAGCTGCATGGTTCATAGGTGCAAGCTTGGATTAGAACAAAGCCAATTTTGTTTAGGTTGTGACAGGAAATGACTCTGGTCGAGTTACTAGATAAGGCAGCAATCATTCCCGAGGTCATCTATGCAGTAGTTACGATTCAAAGAAGCCACACAGCGATTTATAGCGTTTTGCAACATAACGTGACCGTAGAGGGCCATATGGCCCGCCCGGTCCGCAACGCTTGGAAACGTAGAGGGCCATGTGGCCTGTCCGGTCCACAATGTGTTAACAAACGGAAATTAATTTTCCATAGTCAGATGTTCATCAGTTAATTAAAATCAAGATTCTTAATATGTTTGATGAATTATGAATATTAAAAATCTACATGTCACTCAAGGGACTAAAATAGTTCCTGAATTCAGATTAATTTAGACACATAAAATTTACATCTGGTGGAGCTAGAGTAGTGTCCTTTAAACAGGCCAAAATTGCCAAATCTATGTCCTTTCCAGTTCACCACACATGTTCACCTTGTTATTTACACCATATGACCTGTGAAAGTGATCACACACCAAATATGCCAACTCTGTGAAATGAACTTATGAATGGAAATTCCAAAAATTATTTTAGTTTCTTTGTTGTTGAAGTAGAAAAAAATGTGTGTAATGGAGTGTGTGTTTTAAGGCTCACTGCTGAAAGAATCAACACCAAAATAATTGTAAAATTTGTCATGTCCCTATAACATCTTGCTGTGATAGAAACGCTTGTGACTGTCCTGAGTAAGTGCATTTGTCATCTGCGCTATGGGAAATACATAATTTCCACCAAATATTGGCCACAGTAGAAATACTTTTGTTCTTAATCATTTTTCTTGCAGGTTCATTGTTTAGAAGTAACCTGTTCCCATACTGTAACCCTGAATTACTTTTGTCCTCACTAAGAGAAGCATTTATGTATTTAAAACTCTTTATCATAGTTGTAAGATTCATGAAATACCAATTCCTATCCTTTACAGCTTGTAAAAGGTTAAGTTGGCCATGTGCTTAACTAATTATTCAGTCAGGTGGTTCCTTTCAGGTTCTGGTCTCTCCCACAGTGGCACATTAAATTCCCTCAGAGACATTTAAATTTGTCAATGCAGCATTTAATTTTATAATTTTTGCTCCATTTTTAAAATTGTATGTCATTATAAAATTATGGAGCAGAAAGCCTCTGAAAGACCAATTATCTGACTTCACATACCTGTATTTTCATTTCTGTGGCCATTACATCAAATTTTATATATTTTTTTAATAAAATTCCACACTTCTGGCTTTGGTCTAAAAAAAACCTGCCACTCTCGCCACTGACTCTCATTTCCGTTCAGACTATATGATCTCATACTTATGCTTGAGTCATGCACATTCAGTATACATTGTCATGACTGGCATCTGGTGTTTAGAAATGAAACATGTTCATAGAAGTTGGCTGACAAAACTATCTGTTGAAAACACACTTTCCCAGCTTTGTTTATTATGACACTATAGATGCCTCATTGATAAACAGAGTTTCTTATAGCCATGTGGGCTGAAATTGTACTTCATTGAAAGCTCAGGGCTAGTATGGACAAATGAATTGAACTATTCTTCCAAACATCGACTGCAAAATCGTTATCTCTACGAAATCATGACTAAAACGATTATACCAGCAGAAACATTGCTGCAGCTCAAGTGGCAGATACTGTACCCAGTGTAAATAATAAAATTCCATACATAACCAGATTTGGCTTCACACATTTCAAATGATTTTGTCCAAATCTGGCACGTTCTGAAGGAATGTATGTATACCTTGCATGACAAATGTCCCTGACACATCACACTCTGTGGTATATACATTCCAAAATTTGGCATTTAAATGATCCAGTATGGGTTTGAGCTTATACAGTCATTTGGAACCTCAGGTGGCCTCATCGTAACTTTCGCTGTCAGCAAAATGAAACTTGTGTAGATGGTGAAACCCTCTCTCGGTGAACAGCTCCAAAAATATGGGCATTTACAGAATTTTCCTCTGGCAAAAATAGCACATTATCAAGTTTCTGGTGAAGTCCTTCTAACAGAAAGATTTCCAGCAACTTCATTATTTCAATTCTGTTTGTTTCCTTCCAGTTACAGGTCCTAGATTTTAGTTTTAGATTAGGCATGTTTTCTAAAAAATTTTGGGCATACCAGTTTGTTTCTTTCTTCTGCAATGTATGGTGTACAAAACAATTAAGAATTTTCCAGGACATTACTGGGGTCTTCTAAATCAACATTTATGCCAAGATTCCCAGTAAATGGGAAATGTCACTCAGCACCTGTCAGGTTGCATGCTACTGTTGTTGCTGACATTTTCTGATTTATCAGAGCTGACACTTTCTTCACCACATGATGAAATTTTCGCATTTATTTCATTAGCGCTACTATAATGACTTTCTGAAATAGCACTGTAATCATTCTCTTGTAACAGTTCGTAAACCCTTTCATCAACTACACGTACCTTGTTGCTAGGATCTGTCATAATGTTTAGTCAAAAGAACTGGAATTCAGGACACTTAACAAGCAATAAACAACTTCCTGTCACTCTCTGAAATAACTAGAACATCTTGCAAGCACAACGTACAAGTTTGCGTTGGTGACTGGCATTATATCTACAATGGAGTACTTAGAAACATGCGCGATGTGTATAGACGTCATGACCACTATGATACACAGTACCACATGACCTCTGTGGACATCATAACCACTTGACTGGTTAAGCACTACACCATGAAGGCGTATGGGGGAGTGGATGTATAGATCCGCATTTTCCATACATCCACTCTCCCATACACCTTCAGGGCATAGCGCTGTACAGTGTTTTATTACATAATAATGCTTCTGGACACTGTCCACTGGCTGTAGTTTTGATTATATCTGCATTGGTTTGGAGGCTCTGCCATCAAGTAAGGAACAAGAGTGGAAGGAAATGCCTATTCATTCTGACCCATATAAACAAGCTAGTATGGTGTAGTTCAGTCATGTATTGTAATTGCAGTATAGTGTAATGTGTCTTATTTCATTAAACAGGATTCTCATGAAAGTGAATCAGTGACTGGGTCTTCGCATGGAGCAGTGAATAACAAAAGAACCATCGAAATTCTCCTAGATGAGGGTGGTGCTTCCAAAGATCACTCACAGATCCAAAAACAGGACTCATCCCAATCTTTGAAGATGTACAAGTGTACAGTTTGCAATTTTAAAACATCAGAACTTACTCTGTTCCTGCCTCACCTTTTGTCATGCATTGAGTTACCTTACAAATGCACCATGTGTGAAAAAAGGTTTGAGAGTCATAAGTATGTTAGGAATCATATCATGGAAGCACATCTTTCAAATTGGACATGCCATTTTTGTAATAAAAAATTCAGCGAAGAAGAGGATTTCACAGCACACATGAAGATACATTTAGGTCACAGAAATGGCTCCCCAAAAATCCATACAGAAGATTCACAGTCAGCCATTGGAAGTGTGAATGCACTATACAGTTCTCAGAGTGTGCTGGGTAATTATGAATGTAATATTTGTGATTACCAATGTAGCAGTAAAGAAATGTTTGACAAACATGTACGTAGGCATTCCATGTTCAAAATTTTTCACTGTAATGTTTGTAGGAAGGAGTTCCAGCACCAGGAAGATTTGTCACATCATGTATCGGAACTGTGTTCTGCAGAATCTAAGAATAAAAGTAGCCTACTAGACTACCAACACACACTAACAACAGAAATGAAGGGAGAGACATTCCATGACAGAGGAGACGAAATAACAGAATTGTCATACCAGAAATCAGATGGTATAGTAAAACCACCTTCTGAGGAAAGGCAACTGGATAGTTTCATAACAGAAACTAAGAATAAACCTCATGGAGGGCCATCTGATGAGTGTAGGGGAAATGAAATAGAATTTCATACGTGTCGTATATGTTCACTGACTTTTGTGAATGAATCTCTTTTTATGGAACATATCAAGATGCATAAGCAAGAGGGAGCCAGTGAAGAACTGTTTAGGCAGAATTCCAGTCAGCTCCTACAGATGGGTAAAGTCAGTCCGGATGATGATTCGACAGAACATGAAGTTAACTCGATTGATTCCGAAGGGAGACAACAGTATGTTGAACTGGATGAAAGTCTGGAGGATATGTTTGAAAAGCTTCATGCGGAGACAGAAACTATTCATTCTTCTGAAATGAAAGAAGCATCAAACAGAAACACTCTGTCAGTATCTGAATGCAACATATGTCACGAGGAATTTGTGAACTATGATGATCTGCAGCTGCATAAAGTAACACAAATGCATCTTGGTAATGATTCTCAGAATGATGTAGACATGTTGATTGACAATAAAAGTGGTGCTTCTGTACCTGACCCATTTGACCAATGTAAAACTGAAGAAAATATACTGGATATGCAACAGAATGAAAGAATAGTAGACAGTGGCTTGAATGCTGAAACTTCATCAGTTGGACATATTGGAAATCCAGAAATTTTACCTGTACAGCATGACCATTGCCAAATTCAAGAAAATGAAAATGCAAAGGATGGCTTTCTTGATATTTTTGATATGGTGCGAGAAAAAAAGCTTTCTGCTAAAGACAGTGCTAAAATAGATACCAATTTACTGCAGGAAACACAGGTTAAGACAGAACAGATTGAAGTTGTGCCTGCAGCAGAGTTTCATCCATACATATCGGACATGAAACATCTGGGTGATAGCAAATTATATGACACTGCCCCTATTCCAATTCAGAGTAAGAAGACCTATGTATGTGCAATGTGTGGTTATCGAACTTCAGCAATGTTTGATTTGAGAAGACACTTCAAAGAACATAGACAGAAAACATTTCACTGCAAAATTTGCAACAAAGTATTGCCAAGCACTCAGAAACTGTGTACTCACTTAAAAAGTCATGAGAAGTTTCATGGCAGAATGACATGTCCATATTGTTATGGACAGTTCCCTGACAGATGCAGCCTTCAGCAGCATTTGCAAGAGAAGCATCAGAAGGAGAAGGTGATGTACAAATGTTCATTTTGCAGTGATACATTCAACACAAAAAAAGCATACAAAGTGCATGAGGAGATTCATCCGGAAAGATTTTCTTTTAGGTGTAATGAATGTGGCATACCATTCCTGAAGGAGAAGCAACTTCTTGATCACAAGGATTCAATTCACAGGGATCCACACTGCCGCTTCTGTGGAAAAGAGATAGTGAAAGCAAAGACCCTCAGAAATCATGAACTCAGACATCTCAGACAAAAAGACAGTTTTGAATGTGACATCTGTAAACGTGTGTTTAAAACAAAGACAGGTTTGAGGCATCACATTGCTGTGCATACTGGTGAATACAAGTATTGCTGTGATTACTGTGGCCGAGGCTTTATGTCACGCATGATGATGGAAGAGCACCGCAGCAAGCATACCAAGGAGGAGCGATACATTTGTGATGTGTGTGGTCGCAAGTTTAGTTTCCAGAGCACATACTGGATACACCGTAAGTGGCACGACAACCCCTATCCTTACAAGTGCAGCTTCTGTGGCAGGATGTTCCGGCACTCATCACTGCTGGCAGTTCACAAGAGAACCCACACAGGTGAGCGTCCATACAAATGTCCACATTGCCCATTAACATTTCCTGTCGGTGGAACACTGAAGCGCCATCTTATCTTGCACACTGGTGTGTACCCATTTAACTGTGAGAACTGCAAACGTGGTTTCACCACTCGGCATAAGTATGCGACACATCTTGCAAAGATCCATGGAGACTTTGAGATGCTTCACACTAAACCCCAACAGAGTGAGTTCAAAATGGTCATTCGAGATGACCCCAGACCTGTCCAACAGCCAACAGTCTGGGAAGTCACAGACAACTCTGTTCCAGACCAAATGAATTTCAAACTAGAGACAGTTACAGGAGATGACACAAGTAAAGACCCAGCTGGGGAAGGAATTGCATGCACTATAGTTTCAGATGACCTGTTAGTAGATAACATGGTTCCTACCAGAGTAGTGGAAATTGTTCTAGATGAAACTTCTCAAGCTGTTGCAACAGTTACACTAGCAGAACATGCAAATATCCTCCCAGATATCTGGTATCAGTAGGTCTCACCACACACATGTATCACAGTTGTTTATAACAACAGAAAACAGAAATGCTGTATACAGTATGCTTTAAAGAGATGATATACTCCATCTGCTACAGGAACAATGGTGAGTCAGTCAGTAACCTAGACTGTTACATCATCATCATAAAGTTACTAGATTGTTTTCAAAATACTTCCAGTATTCACACATCAGTAGGAAATTTGGATGTATACAGGACTTTGCTACCATAAGGTTGCATACACAAAGTATACCATACCATGATTCATAGAGTAGATGTGGGGTGGTAAGTTGCTAGAAGGGGGGGCTGTTCCTTCACTTCATGATCGTAGACTGCTTAATGGACTTTGAAATAGAAGTGAAATTCATTACTGGTGCATGTACAAGATACAAACAAAAGCAAAAGGATGGGGTTGACAGGGTAAATAAGCATAAAAGTGGTCTCTGATGAGAGCTTTACCAACTTCTGTTGTAAATAATGTACTGAAAAGTGAGGTGATTTGAATGATGCTGTGTAACACCTATGGTGAAAATCTTTCACTTACTGCTGATGGCACTGTATTTCCTGGCATACTAATTCTTTCAGATGAGCAAATGTTATTTCTGAATAACCTGCTGGAGTATTTTAATTCATGAATTGTTATAATCACACCTCAGTTGTTTTTCCTAGGCCGATAAAAATCCATAAAGGGATTGAAAGTGTTTTTATTTAATTACCAGTTATAATATACACACTATTTTCAAAGAAATTTCAACTATTACATTTTCAGTAGTTACAGTCAAAAATCTGTCATTATTTGTTGGAGTGTGATATGTGATATTCTAGCAGGCTTTAACTTCTTGATGAAACAAAGTACCTTATGTTCAGAGAGATGCAAGCTGCATGAGAGGTACAACACTGCCTGCTAGTGATATAAACATAGTTCCAGTGAAGACAGGATACCAAGAATCTTTGGATGTGCCTGAATTAAGATGCATACAATTGAGGGAATATAAATGCAACTGTTATGATCATATCATTTCAGCATATGACTGTTTACACATTTGCTGAACTTGGAGTGTGACAGAATCAAACTACAGATCATGACTTATGAAACGTTTAATATATAGGAATACAGGAAAACAACACATATTACCAGGCTACAGTGAAAACTTAAGTAATGTGGTGCCCAGGATTATGATTCTTGATACTTTCATTGTTGGTCCCCACCGTGCAGTGGTCAGTCATTGTTGAGCATACAAAAGACAATGATTTGAAGTGTTTTAGTTCACAGCATTCATATAGCTTGAAAACTGTTAGACAGGCAAATCAGTCTCTGTTGTCTGAGGTACTGTCAGAAAATGGACACTGCTGGCTTTCAAATTCCATATCTGTGCAGATGTTAGGTCAGTTTGAGGTCATTTGATAATTTTACCTTAGAACTACACTAAAAGTTTGGCAATAAAAAAGGGACCCCATATGAATCAGCAGTTTTATATTTTATGAGGTACCAGAGCTTCAACATCCACTGTTTCATTTGTAATAGTTAGAATTTTTTCTGATCAAAGCATGAAATAGCAATATTAAATAGATTCTAAAGGGTTCTGATGATGGTGTATAACACTCAGAATTACTGGGTTTTTGGACTTTTTCCATCATCCAGTATTCTTGAAACTAGAAAACACGATGTTTTGGGAACTGGATGTTTCCCTTCTCAGGTGAGGGGGAAGACTCCTATTCAGTTGGGTCCCTTAGAAAGAGCTAACCTGTCACTGGACAACCCCCGTCAGATTCACACAGCTATTTAATCACCTGAGACCAGGCTAATTTGGCAAGAGATAGCAAGAAAATATGCAGTAAAAATTGTGATAGGCTACACATGTGCATGGAACTAGGATAGAAAAGGAGGTAGAAATTTGTGCTACAAACCTAGCCAACAAAAACAATCCATGAGTATCAGTGCAGGCATGTAGATACTACATGTCTTCACAAATTTTTTCCATTTCTTTTCAGTTTTCTTTTTTGCCATGGTGCTCATGCACTTGGTTTTATGGGCTAGGTTTGTAGCACAAATTTCTATCCTTTTCTATCCTAGTTCCACGCATGTGCATCCTTTATGACAATTTTTATTGCATATTTTCTTATCTCCTGCCAAATTAGCCTGGTCTCAGGTGCTTCAATAGCTGTGTGAATCTGTCAGGAGTTGTCCAGTGATTTGAGGTTAGCTTTCTAAGGAACCAAACTGAGTTAGTGGCTTCCCCCCTACCTGAGGACAGAAACAGATCCAGTTTCCTAAACATTGTTTTATAGTTTCTAGGATACCGGATGATGGATAAAGTTTGAAAACCCAGTAATTCTGAGAGCAATATTAAAGGACATATTAATATAATATGTTCTTATTTCCTATGGGCATATTCAATTCCAAGTTTCACTGTAACATTTCACAGATTTTACATTTTGTTACATTATGTATTATGAAACATTTCAGCTTACACCCTGATTCATTCATATAAAGTAATTATGGGTGAGCTCCCAAATGTTTAATTAATAGAAGAACAGAAGTACGTGGCATTTCTCACTTCTGTGATACATGTAAATTACAGGAAACATGTTCATTTATTATTATACTATAAAAATGTGATGTGTTCAAGTTAGTTGTTTTTATTCAATGCAACATGTTAAAATGCAAACAAAATTACTGGCATTTAATAAATACGAAGATGCTACTCTACCTTCTAAAAGTTCATCCATTTAGGTATTTATTACTGAAGCTACAGAAAAATCCCATGGGTCGTCAACCCCTTTGGAATCTCCCTTAAACTGATAAGACATCCTCATCCATCATACTCCCCAATTTCCCCCTTAAGTTATCTAGCTAATTATATGAATGTACTGATAACCTTTGCTACCAGCAAGCACTTTGGGGTGGCTTAGGGCAGGATGGGCTAGAGAGGAACAGAATAGGCAGAGACTGGGAATCGATCATCTACCATATAGGACTTACTTTTAAAGACAGCATAAGCAATCATAATGAAGAATTATATTTAAATTTTTCCAAAATAGCAGTAATCCATCTGACTTTCATTTAGAGGTACATGGATTGATTTGTAGCTGGGGAACTGTTCTGATTGAAGATCTTGGTTCTACTCTATCCAATTAAAGTTCAAAGACAGCACCAAAAATTTCACCCCACCACTCCCATACGCATTGTGTCCAGTAAAGATGCTATAAACGTTTAATAAACTTGGAAATTGATTATCCCACATACTTTCCAGTCCATTAAGTCAATATACCACTATCATTTGATATTCCATAACTACAGCAGCTGGTAAATGTAAAGTAACAATCATCAAAGCTGATCAGACTGCTGTAGTTATGTCATCGCAGTATGTGCCAGCACATAACACTTTTAGTCTGGTAGGTGGATATGAGCTTATCCTGAAGTAAGAGGCAGTACATTCCTCTAAAACACTGGTATCAGCCACCACGAAAATCCCAGATGTTATAATTGCAGTCCTGTTTAAACTAATAATTTCAGGAGATAATACAGAGTGATAAACTGCAAAAAAGACTGCACTATGCATTGCCCTCAATGAAAAGATACATTCCACTGCTTTGGATTTATGTGACTGCTAAATGTCACTGCAACTAGATTAATATTGCAGCATGTAGACCCGTTGCTAGACAAAGCCCGCAAGGCGCGCACAGCCAACAGTATAGGTACAGTGTTTTCTTCGTCTGTGGATGGGCTGTTGCTGTGCAACAGCTGCACTGTGATGTCACACAGTAGTGGGTAGCGAGCACGTGCCATTTACAATGATGATGTGTCGTCTGGCCTTACACTATATAAGTATATATACAGTTCAGTCGGAGTTAGTAACAGTGGAAGCATGCAAGAGCGAAGTGCAACCAGGACTACAGAAGAATACAAGTGGTCAGCCTGTGAGGATATTTGAGGTTGGAAGTTGGCGGCTCGAATCATATTGGATTCTTCAGCAGTAGTTACGACCATAAACACGGGCCAATCTGGTGTCAGCAGTCACGCAGCCATAAGCTCAGTGTTAAAAGTGATCGGATTTCATTGATTGAAGTGATTACTGAATTCACTAATCGACTAGATCGAAGATTGCCAACAGACATGGAACAAATATTTGGAACTCATTTAGTCCACGCAAGAAGAACTGAGAACCCAGGGAACCAAAATGGAAGAGGCAGAGACCAATAGGAAGGCAGACTGTGAAGCTCTAAATGATGTGACAGCAGCTGGAAGGAAGGTTACCCACTGTACAGAACAGACGTAAGGGACAAAACAAAGACGATGTCACATCAAGAAGCCCAGAAGGATAGAGGAAAATTGATGCTGGAAAGGTCCACAATGTAAAACGGGAATAAAGGACCCTACCACGAAAGACATCGAAGAGTGGGGATCAGGACAGTGATTGCTCCTGGGAAGCAGAGGAATGCGCGAGAAGGCCCTATATGAGATTTTTAGGGGGAATGTTGTGGATCAAGTAGTCGGTACTTCCAGCAGATTACAGAAAATGAAGAATAAACATTGTTGAGAGTTTTACCGTCCTTTCTTTCTCTTGCTGTTGTTGCCCCTGCCGTCGTTGGTCGTTTGGCTCGCAGCTAGGGTGGGCTTTACCTGGCTCCACCGCTTCTCCGACTCCACCACTGCTCTTCACTATGGAAAAGGGGTTTCCAGCCCGGGACTTGGCCTGGATAGTCTATGGGCTCCAGCAACTGTGGATACAGATGCGAAGTGAAGGGAAAAGGTGGACGGGGTGGGGAGCTGATGGTGATTGGGCTAGTCGTGGGTGGAGTGAGACTCTGGTTCAGGTCGTTTTTGGGCCTTACTTCGACGAGGAGAAAAGAACACACTGGAAACACAAACACTTGGGACCACTTCCTTTATTGTTTTTATAATCTGGGAGTCGCTGAGATACAACTCAGATTGTTACTTTACTACTCTCATTACTGGAGAGCTCGGATTCTACAAAATGAACGGGTTGTTGTTACTTGGTTACACACTCCTGCAAGCCTTCTCACAGTGCACCATTAGCACTATTATTTAGCACTTGGGGACTTGTATAGGTTACTGCTAGCACTGCGTGTGTGGTGTTTGAGAGGGTCACCAGTTCGTACTCACTCGCGTTTCTTTTCAATATTAATTTTCCTGATTTAACTTTCGAATACTCAGACATTAATTTCACTTAACAGTCGGTCGAGAGGGCTAGCTTCGCATCCGGCGAGTTTAGCTGTTGTTGCGAGACTTTCGAAAAAAAAAAAAAAACTCTGTTTTTGACGATTCAGAGGTCCTGTGAAAATTTGGGAACGCCTCGTTGCCATCCTTCAAATCCCCGGGTTGGCTGGATTTAGACAACAGGGCGAGAGGGTTCGATCAAGTTTATCATTCCCCCCAATGGTCAGCTGTTTCGCGGCGAAAGTTGGGTTCTCACGCTTTTACGATCTTTCTGACACGGGGTGGATCAAGGGGGTTCAATCTCACAGTCTTCTAAGGGTAGGTCTGTGACGAATTTGAGGCCTAAATTGTCACATTCATTACGCTCCACAGAAAAAAAATGTTATTGTATGATATTTAGAACTTGAATGAAGGGGAATTCACTAAAGAATATTTAGGTGGTCTTGAATTTCTTTCTCCACTAAAAGATAGCGGGTAATATTCGGATTCCTAAAACATTTGACTTCCGTGACCAATCGGGTGTTGAAAAAGTG